GTTCTGCCAAAAAAAAGAAAAAAAAAAAAATCTTAGTTAAAGCATGTTCAGATTTTGTGGGCCATAAATGGTCTGTTAGTACTTATTATTTGTGTACTGTGATAAAAGCATCGGGCTGGGTACATATAAGCTGGTGGTCAATTCTCATAATAATGGTAATATATGCTGTACTTCTGCAGTTTAGTATAATCTTCTCAGAAACCAATTTTATTTTATTTTATTTTTTACTTTATTGACGAACTGGGGATTGAACTCAGACCCTTGCGCTTGCCAGGGAAGCACTTATTCTACTGAGCCATTTCCCCGGCCCCTCAGAAACCAGTTTTAGAACATACATATTAAAAACAATGTCTAGTTAACAAATTGTAGTTGTATATTTACCCAAATTTTGATATGACACTGTTGAAAATACATGAAACATGACATATCCAACTTTAAGGGATTTATGATGCTGTAGTTTTGGAGGCAGCATTTATACAAAATGAAGTACAGTATAATTAGAGTCAAGGATGGAAAAATTTTATATTGCTGGGAATAACACGGGTAGAGAATATAAGAAAATAAGAGTATTATTAAATTTATTGGTAATTATATAGACTATTGAGACTGGCCTGTTAGAACTGTAGGCTTGCATTAGTGATTAGAATGAAATAAGATTAGATAGATTGACAACAGATTAGAAGACTTTGTTATGTATGTTTAAGGGAAGAATTTTAGCAAGGTAATACAACTTTTCTATCTATACAGTGGAATATTCAGTTATTAAAAAGATAGTGATGTGCTATTATGTGTTGCTTTATGGGTGAATCTTAAAAATATGCCAAGTAAAAGAGGATAGATATAAAAGGCCAGATACATGATTCCATTAATGTAGAATATCCAAAATAGGCAAATCTATAGCAAAAGGTAGATGAGAGATGGAATGGGACATGAATGCTAATAGATACAGATGTCTCTTGAGGTTGATGAAAATGTTCAGAATCAAGTAGTGATGATAATTGAAAAAAATCCTATGAAAATATAAAAGTCCAATGAATATACACCTTAACAGGGTAGATTATAGCTCAAATTTATTTTCTTGGTGTTGAAAGTCAAACTTGGCCTTGTGCACTAAAGCACATGCTCTACCACTAGGCTGTTTCCTGTCTCTGTATCTTAATTTTTTTAAAAAGTGGATGGGAAAAAATAAAAAAAATAAAAGTGGATGGGGGAGAAAACTAATAGTAAATAAATCTCACATTGATTACATAGTATGTGCTAAACACCCAGACAACAGGTATAGGTAATGAAAAGGAAGTATTATAGATACATTCTCTGCCTCTAAGGGTTGTGTAGTATAGTCTGGGGAGGTAAACATGTAAACAGCATATATTATATTCTGAGAAGTTCTGTAATGGAGTTGTGTTGTTGAAACATATGAAAAGAGATAACTAATTCTTCAGGTTTTCTAGAAGACTTCTTAGAGGTGAAGTGATGATACCTAAGCTACCTCCAAAATTCTATATAACAAAGCCAAAAGATCTTTGTGGAAATCTAAGATAAAGCACAGACAAATCATGGAAGCATAAAGGGGACTGCTTGGAAGGAAAGCCTATAATCCTAGACATTATCGAAGATAAAATTATAGTCATCTAGTTCTCTGACTAGAATATAACTGAAGATTAACTTTGTCTATAACTCTGAATTTTTTGGATAACTTGTATGATTTCATGAGGCTATGAATATTTGGCTTGTCATGAATTTTTTAGTTTTAGACTAAGCATTAAACCTAGGGCCTTTGCAATGAGCTTTATCCTCAGCCCTTTTTGAAGATTTTTGAGATAGTGTCTGTAGCTGAGTTGCTTAGTTTCCCAGGCTGGTCTCAAAATTTGTAATCCTCTTGCCTTGATCTCCCAGAATGACAGGTGTGTACCACTGTACCTCCTCAATCATGAATTTAGGTGCTTTTTTCCTGATAAGTGTAAGAATTTGCCATTTCAATAAATTAATTCAAATTTTATAACTGTTTCATTGAAGGACCAGATAATCTATGTATGCACTTGCATAGTACCTAGAATGCATTCAATAACAGCTCCATAATGTTAGTCATTATTGTTAAAATAATGTCCTAGTCATTTTCCTATTGCCTCTAACTTATTGAAAGAATAAGTAAATATCTAAAATATCTCTGTATGTCCACATCTTCTACTGAGCTATCTCCCCGGCTGGCTGTATGTCCACATCTTGTACAGCAATTAACCACTAGGAAGATTGTATGCAACGTGTTAATTATTGAAACTGTCCTACCAATTTGATTTGAAACTGTCTCATTGCTACTTGTTTCTCAATAAAATTACGGAGAAAAAAAAAAAAAAAGAAAATGATGTAAGTGCAGATGTGGCTTTTAAAAAATTTTTTTGCACAGAATATCTAAGGTGTCTACATTGCTGGCTTTTTTCACTTAACACTGAACTATGAAAGCATTTTGCATATGTTAATGGAGTACAAGCGCTATTGGTCAACACCAAAAAGATATAAGCTGGCAAGAGGGAGAAGGTATGGCTTAAAGAGGGCATTATGTAATAAATTTATTATTTATTGTTGCCTTTTCCCCTTTACCTTAGTTTTAACTGCATACTGTATAATAACTGCCCTTTCAGAAATAAAATGTTTTAAACAAAAAACATAAAAAAAAAAATATCTCTGTAAACTCTGAGTCAAGACATTTGTACTTACTGTTTCACCCACATTTATTTAGTTATCTCTTGCATTTTAATACATAATTATAGGTAGAAGTATACACTTGCAGCCAGGCAGATCTGCTGTTCTAAATTGAAAACAGTCCATATACATAGTTGTTTATATTTTTGGCTTTCAGAGGAGTTTTCTAGTTTGAGGGAAACTAATCTGGTTAGGATATAATATATTAAATTGTGTATTAATAGTGTTTTTTGAGTTAGTGCATATTTAAAGCTCTGTCCACATTCTTAAAAGCTATTATAAGATCTTCTTCTGGAACTAATTGATTACTCAAATAAGAAAACTACTCTCTGTTGGGAGGGAAGGTTTGTCTATTTTGAATCAGTTTTTTTTTTTTTTGAACTCAGGCCCTTGTGCTTGCCAGGCAAGCTCTTATTCTACTGAGCCATCTCCCCGGCCCCTTTGAATCTGTTCTATGAGTTACCATTGCATTCACTCATCAGATACTTACTAAGTACCTACTGAGTGCAAGTGCCAGGAGCTATTTGATTTGTCCAGTAAATATTTACTGAGTGTCTGACATGTGCCAGGAACTGTTCTGGGTGCCAGAGATGTAAGGGTTAACAAACTAGATCAAAAAATGTTTTCTCCTCAGTGTATATTTCCGTTTAACTGTTAATTGAAAGCATCATGGCTGTCTTCTTTGTCTTGAATAATTCTACTAGTGAACTATTTTGTTTATCTTGGGAACGTATTAAGCATGATTTTTTTTTTTTTTTTTTTTTTTAGTTCTCAGTAGGAAAAATCTCTGTTTAAATAATGAGTAAAAAGGGACTTATGAATCATTCACCTTGGTGCCTAGGATTTGTTTTCATTTCCTATTGCCCATAATGGAATGTGAAATACCTTACTATGATCTTGTGAATTAGCATATGTTGAGATGTCAGTGAAATTCCTTGCCTTAGTTGGCACGGTGGAAATAGCTGGTTTCCTGTTAATGGTTTACTGTATAATTTTATGAACAACTGAAGCATCATAGATAGTGATTT